AAAAAAAAAAAAAAAGGCGGGTAGAAAAGGATAAATAAATTTAAAAAAAAAAACACCTTTAACAACACTCGCAGAAAAAAAAAAAAAAAGATTTTTACCACTAGATGTCATATTCTCCCCCTTTATCAACTATTGTCACCAACTTTTTATATATAAAAACAGAAAATTTTAGCCACGTAACTTCAGTAAAAACTCATTTAATTCTTCAATACTTACAGTAGGTGTGCCACGAGCCGCTTCATTTTTTTCTCTACACGCTGCAGTGTGCATTCGGACTGCATACGTGTAAGAGTCCTGAATAATACTGTGGGCAATATTAAGCACGTTGCAAATAAAAAAGATGAGAAAAGTTGCAATGAATACTCGTCCAAAGATTAACTGAACGGTAAATCCAGATTGGTCCATTACCAAAAAAGTATCAATGAGGTTATCACCAAACATTGCACAAATAAGAGTTATAATAGAAGATGGAATGCTACCAAAGTAACCTCCATACATCCCAAAAACAATACTACCACAAATAGAATAGCCTAGCATGATAGGAAAAATAGCAACAAGGTACATAAACAACTGACGCCATGCTGTTAAAAAACCTTCAATAACAATATAACGAGCAGGAAACAGTACTAAAATAGATATCAAACGCACACAGTTTATAAGTGTACAAAACCCAAGTAGAATTGTTACAGCTTCTTCCATATTAAAGGAGGTTTTTGGCAAAAATTGGTTAATGAGTGAAATAATACTAAAAGAAATCACCAGTACATCGGAAAGAAAACCAAACCAACGCCAACCACCTTCTAGAGAAGGTTTACAATACAATTGTGTATCTTGAGACAAGTTTCTTTGATTACGAGAACATTTTGAAACAATTAAACTTGAAAATCGAGGGAATGTACGAATGCGAAGAAGAAGAGCAAATAACACTAATGGCAAAAGAGAAGAGCATATAATAACAGGGAAACGTTCAGGTATACGCTTTTCTACAGAATCAAGTGAAGCTTTCATGTACATTACAGAAGCATGACCAGACAAAGCAAAAGTAAATTCGAGGAACCAAGCTCTTGGAAATGGTGTACCATCAGAACGCCTTACCAGAGAAAAAAGGGAGAATGATAACTTGGCACTTACTAACCGGTCAAAAAATTCTCCACTTAACGAAGCTCGACAAGGTATATAATATGATCCATCTACATCCTTTTTTGGTTGGCATGATTCTGTTTCATTAGTTAAAGAATCTGGATCTTCGAAAGGTCCCAATAAATTATCTTCTAGAATTTCATAAGTTTCAGTAAGAATAGTTGAATAGGATGATGATCCATAATATCCTTCATGAAAACTTAACTCTAAAGTAGGAGCCAATGGTGTCGAATTCCCCATACCATACGTATAGTGCAAAAATACTCCACTACCAGAATATGGTGCATCATAATAAGCTTCTGTTATACCTTTAAAAACATCTAGAAATTCATCAATTGTTTCAATTCTTTTCTCAAATTCAGCACTAGATCTTCCTTCAGCTCCAAATAACAATGCCGCAAGTTCAAAACGACTATCTATACGATCCTGATTTCGGATAGTTTGATAGCCAAAAGCAAAGGCAAGTAAAAGCCCTAAGGTTATACAAGTAATTATAAACTGAATCAAAACGTTTCTCGCCATTTCCTTGTTCACCAATTTCTCTTTTTTTCTTTGTTTTATTTACTGCTATTTGGAATAAATAAAAAAAAAAAAAAGAAAAAGAAAAAAATAGGAATAATGGACTTGAAACCATAAAATCAAGTACAAATTACCCTAAAAAAAAAAAAGGAAGGGCATTCAAATTTTACCACTTCTCTTCTACTATTTAACATCACTCTCTAATTTTTATTTTGGTATTAAAAGTCCTCCACAGAAATAAAAATCGACAACAACAACAAAAAAAAATAATATATATATATATATATATATATATAACCCATTTTATTCACAAACGGCAGGAGACTGAAAAACCATAGAATACTTACACATGGAAGGTTCCTCAACTTGCATTAACTTGTTCTCTGGACCACAAACCACATGAACGTCAGTAGTGCGATGAACACCATTCCAACACCGGTCACCATTGTCAAATATCATGTGTGTATAATCACTTGTACTTAACCAAAGGGAATAAGTATTCTCGCCAAATCGACCCCATCTTCCCATATTGGGACCGCTTTTTGAACCCTTATCGTATTGGTGAACATCCTTAAAAGGACACATTTCATACGTATATGACATAAAGTCAATCGTAAAACACTCATCCTCAAGAGTCTTAATTAAATCTCCTGTAGTGATATTTCTACTCAATAGTTCCCGCAAAGATTCTACTGTTAAGTTAAGTTTATTTAACATATCACGAGATTTTTCCAATTCAGAACGTAATTCCCGCGCTTCAGGTAACTCAAAACTGGATCCATCATCCATGTCAAAGTGTTCAACTGAAGAACCTTCTTCATCCTTAGTTTCATTTTTACAAACTGAGTTACAATCAAATTCATGGTCATCACAACTTCTTTCAAAACGAACAGTTGTATTTGCTTCCTCATCAAGACATTCACAATATCCTTCCATTTGGGGATGAATATCATCATCACATTCTCTATCTTCGTCCATTGGTTCCTCAGTATCACAATTTTTTGTACTATGCCATTTTATACAAGAAAAAGAAGAATAAGATGTTTTATTTCCTTTAAGTTCCTTTTCCTTTTCTTTTTCTTCTTCTTTTTCTTTTTTCCATTTTTCAAAAGCAACATTATATGCTTCAAGTAAACGTTTCTTTTCTTCCTTTTCTTTTTCTTCTAAAGGCAAAAGTTTTACGGAGATTTCTTCAACTGATTTATTCAATTTCTCAATTTCTGGTAAACCATTTTCAAATTCAACCTTACTTTTCTCACGAAATATCTTTGCTTTTTCAATCATTTTCATTTTTTCAAGAATTCCTGCAGTTCGTATTTTTTCTGCCTCCATAAGTCTCTTTTCTTCATTTTCTTGAACCTCAGCACAAACATTTGGACAATCTTTAACTCCAGAATATTCATCAGAACCATCACAACAATCGCATATTCCATCATTTACTCGGTTATGTGGTACCTCTTGTAATCGAAAACCTTCATTCTTGCACCTAAATTTCCAATCGGAAGGAAATTTTATTATATTTTCTTGGCTAGTACAAGCAGAAGTTCCAGGTTCATCACTTCCATCAGGACAGTCACAATAATCATCATTGACTTGGTATCCAAATATTGAAACATTAGCATTTAGACACTTAAACGTATCTTTAGGTTTAATTGAAGCAAATTTTTCCAAATAGACATCCGGTACTCCATAAGTTGGAGCTAAAGCCTCAGAATCACCTGCAAAAAGCAAAATAAAAAACAATAGTAGAAGCAGCATAAGTAAGTATATTTTCACTACAATTAATGTTTCCTTTTTTTTTTTTTGGAATTTAAAAAAAGAAAAACAAAGAAAAAGAAGAAAGAACATAAATTAATACGGAAAAACAAGAGAAAAAAAGTAATATTTCAATACAACAAACTAATAACAATATTAAATATAAACTTTCGCACATAACTGTGGCATACCCTTCTTAATAACCTCGGTACAAACGATAATCAGTGAACAGGTCCATATTACTTTTCTCGTTTCAGCTTTTTCTTTCTTTTCGAACTCGCTTAAATCTTATTGTATAGCTGGAAACGTTACGATTTTTCTTTTTTTTTCGCTTCCTCTTCTTTTTTTTCTTTTTAGATATATATATATATTTATATATATATAAATAAATATATAAATGTATAAACATATATATATCTTCATTCTTTCACACATATCTGCTCTGTTTTTTTTCATTTTTTTGTCTTCTATATAACATATATATTCTGACCATTAACTGCGATATAAAGGTTACGTGTCCCCTAGTACGGTCACGAATCGCTCTTGGGCGATGAACCGGAGTTAAACGCGTGTAAATCAAGTTCATCCAATAACGGCGTTAGACTTTCCGTTGAGGCGGCAGGAGTTCCTACAACATTAGCATCTTGTAAAGTTCTAAGTAACGATTCATCAGCTTGAAGTTGTGGAATTCCAGTTTGTCGAACATACTCTCGAACAGTTTTTCTCCATAACTCAGAGGTTGGAGAAGCAATTGTTTTCATTGGAGATGTAAGAGTTAGAGAAGGAGGGGCCTCTGATGCCTGATTTTTACACGTTTCAACCAAAAAGAGGAGGCGTTCAGCTTCCTCATCAATTTGGACCGCTAAACTTTGTGGATTATGAAGATCCATCTGCTTGCTCGAGGAAACTGCCCGTCGATCCTGAGTATGTATTCCTTTACAGTGCTCATCTGCACATGTATTGTTATTACATGAATATTGTTGAATTCGAAACGCTTGTTCGAGCCTTCCGTCCGTAAAAAGAGTTTTAAAAAAAGGAATCCATTTTCCATGAGACTGTACTGTTACTTTATTGCCATAACGTGCAAAGAAAATAGAATCCTTAACTCGATGAAGAATCTGCGATCTTGGTAATTTTTCTTCTTTCAAAACCTCTATGAGGCGCATAAAAAAATTTGTGCGATGACGTACTGGTCCAGCCTCATGTAAGTGAAGTTGGTTGCATGCAAAGTCTTGATAGCACTTTTGATCTGCCAAATGAAGATTACAAAACGCACCTTTTGGCTCCCGTGGAATTTTACGTTGAGAGGGTGCCTGAGGTCCACGAATACCACTTTGCTGGTCGAGAAGAAGTAGTAATTTCTCGCAAATAGCGCTAGTATCCATTACCATACCATCAGACAAAGAACCTAAAATAGTTAATCGCGCTTCCATAGCGCATCTCATCCCCTCTTGATTTTCCTGATCCACATGATCTAGATATATCTTTTGAATGGCCTCATAAGTTCGAAGCCAAACGACAGCAGAAGCTTCGGATGCACTTTGTGCATACATGTGTAGAATTGTTACAAGCAATCCCACCGTGGGTTCAAATACGTCGGGAAGTTTCGTGGCATCATACGTTATAACATTTCCCAAAACCGGTAAACCGTTATCATCCACTCGCGAGAGATAAGAGCGAAAGTCCAAACCCATATCAAGTACTTGCAACGTAGTTTCCGGGCATGATAACGAGAGGTTTGGCCTTCGTCGCGACATTGCTACTGTCAAATATATATATATATATATATATATATATTTATATAAAAAAAAAGAAAACGAAAAAGAAAAAGGAAAAAAAAAGAATTTGAAACAAAACAACTCTCAATTATATAAATAAAAATAAAAGTGGAAAGGAAAAAAAACAAAAAGATAAATTTATCTCACTAATCTGGAATAAAAGACAGACATGATTCTCCAGAGCGGGTTGTAGGACGACTACCACCCATGCTCCTCCGCAAATTAAAAAAAAAAAAAAAAAACCGATCAGCCGACATATGATTAGTTTTATGCAAACCAATAAAAAATAAATAAATGAAAAAAAAGAGCCCGAAAATAAATAATAAAAAAAAGTACTATCGAATATTATGGTATTGAGGTTACAGAAATAACCTAACCACCACAACAACAACAACAAGAACTTTAGGAGGAAAAAAAAAAATTGCACCGACACAGGTATTTATTTATTTTTTTTTTTTTTCTTATCTTTCCACACCCAACCATCACCACCTCTATCAAAATAAAATATTTATAGAAATCCCCAGCGCCGACACCCAGGCCCGCCGCCCCCCACACGAAATAAAATTTTTTTAACTCCGATAGCCACGGCGGCGGGGGCGGCGCACCAACCAGCCAAACAATAAAAAAAAAACAAGAAAAAACCAGACGAGGCCGTGCGCTACGCCACCGCCCCGAGCAAAACCCCGGGCGCCCCGCCCAGGCTCAAAGCGCAGAAAACGCACGCCGTGGAAAAGTGAAAAGAAGGTCCCCACCGACGGACACCGCCAAATCGTCGGGAGAGGCCCCGGGGCAGTATCCCCTTTCATTCTTGATGTGCGGGTGGGGAGGGTCACGGCCCCACCCGCCCACCTCACCACCACGCATTCTGATACGATGGCTTCCCTCTCCTTCACCTCCGCTGGCGAACGCGTTGTTTTTCTTTTCTCTCTTTTTTTCTTCTTTTGCCCCATCCGTCGAAATAGGGCGTAGCAATCTTCAAAGCCACCCACAATACAAACGCAAATACAACTAAAGAGCAAATTATTTCTGTAAACTATGGCTGGTGCTGGTGAAACCTGGTTTCTCGGCGGCGCCAAAAGTGGTGTTTACAAGACTGTGCGAAACCGAATTTCTGCCACTCGACCCGCACAATTTGGAACTGTACAAGAGTTTTGTTCCAAACATAATGAAAAACGGACACGACAAATGTTATTTAACAGTGTAAAGATGTGCCCTAAGTGTGGGAAACCTTGTGCAGTAACCCTCTCTTCTTGTAATCGCTGTAATGCTTCTTTGGGTAATGTGGGAGTAAGTGAAACACCCAATCTTTTCTCTGCCTTTATACTTGGTATAGAAAACAGTGGTACTTTCCCTCTCAAAATATCTATTCGTCATGAAACAGAATCTATACTTGTATTTGATGATCCTCTTGCACTATCTCCTGCACATTTTTGCGCAATTCCTACCACAGATTTTATTCCTGATTGGCGATATCTTCTCTATAAGCCTAAACGTGGACTTGAATTAGTAAAATCTCTTGTTAATGCTTGTCATAAGGTTCTTAGAGAACAATTTCTGGAAAGCAAAGAATGGAAAATGTCTGTATTACAAGGAGCAGAAATAGATACTAATCAAGACATTCTTATGGGCTTTAACTATCCTCCTTCTCAGAATCAGTTGCATGTACAGTACATTACTCCACCATTGATGCCTCATCAATATAATATGCATTGTCGTGGTCAACATTTTACCTTTAATCGTTTTTTCCCTATTAGTTATGTTGAACAATGTCTAGGCGCACTTATAGAGAAGAGTGATCCTTTGGAGGTTGATAATTCTTTTCTGGATTTATCTATTGATGATTTAGTTGCTAAATTGGATAAAGATTGTGGTATTTCCTATAAAGATGAGCACAGCATGTTTTTTTCACGTGTTTATAAGTTGCAAGAAAAGTTGGGTAGATGGACGACAGAAAACTTTGAGGGTGTTTATCAGATTCCGAATAATGCCGATGATAAGAAAGGAAAACTTTTGTTTAAACCTTTACAGGGAGAAAGTTTTTACGTTGATGAACCACTAGCTATTGGTGAAGAGAAAAAGAAGCTTCAGAACTATGGTAGAGATTATGATGAAAATGGAAACCCAAGTGGAGGATTTTATGCCTTTCCCAAATCATTAGATGAAATCAATATGTGGTGTTAGTTTTTTAAATCCTTGTACTACAGGAAGAATGTGTGACTGTTTCTCTTGAGAGAAACATTCTTAGGGACTTCTCCTTTTTTTTTTCTTCTTTTCTTTTGAACTACTTTGGGAGTGTAACATTCTAGGATTTTGGTAAAGAAACCTTCTGTAATTCTTCCTTTGTCATTGTTTGATTCCTGCCCTTCTCTTTCTACTGAGTAAGAGAAAGTATATAGAGGGTAGTGGAAAGGTGGGGGAGAAAATAATGAAGGTAATGTCACTTGTTGTTTTATGCATTGTTTCATTTTCTTTGGTTTTTTTTTTCTTTCTTGTTTTTCTTTTGGTTGGTAAGAGAAGATAGTTTTTTCTTTACAAAAATAAAAGAAGAAGATGCTGACAAAGAAAAAGCCGAGTGCTGACTTTGTGGAGACGCTGCACGAGGCTGCCAAAGCGGGTGAGAACACTATACAGAGTAAGCTTGAAGCAAATGTGGAAAGGGAACTCCATCGAACGACTAGTCCCCATCAGCTTTATCGGTTTCAAAATCCAGAAAACTTTAGCTATGATCTAACTCGAACGAAACTACCAGCATCAAAAAGAGTACAGAAAAAGAAAGATGGAAATACGAAGGTGGAATCGCCTAATGATTTTTTCGCCCAGCAAGAAGAACCACATGTTGATTCTCTAGCCAAAGCATTGACTTTGTGGGATTCACAAATGGAAGAGAAAGATAGTGATATTTTGAGAATGATTCAAAAAGCTATTAGACCTCCTACTAAAAAATCTATCACTCACGTAGCCCCTAATGATGCAAATGCTATTCGTTATCTAAAGACAGATGAAGATTGTATTGCATTTTTTGCTGCTCATGGTTCTGGTAGTCAAGTTAAGTATGTTTACCTTACTCGTGCCCCTCAGTTACTTGAATTCAGACCATATGACTTATGTGTGAGTTCCGTAAAGAGTGGAGTGAAAGAAAAGGAACATTACATAATGAGTGCAACAGGAGTTGTTCATGTTAGACCTGGTCAACCTTCTGAAGTTGTAAGTTTGGCAGAGTGGATGCGAGAGTCATCCTTGTTTGATGTACTCCGAAAAATTCATTTTTTTAAGACGTATCTCGTCTACAAAGCGTTTTTTAGATGGTACAAAAATCTTCGAGCCAAACAATTTCTAAAAACACGCAAGACACTTTCAAAGGAGTTACTGTTATCTAAAGCTACCTTTAGTGTACCTGCTATGGAGGTCTTAAAGACATCATATGAATTAACTACAGAATCATTGGTATTATATGAATCTCAAGGAAAGCATGACTATACTGTAGAAGATTTTAGGACTCATCAGACTAAACAACGTCAAAAGGCTAGTACTGCTTTTACAACTTGTATAGAACATATTGAGACTATTGTTGTAAAGTTGATTGAAGTCATGAAACAAAAAGCTGATGTTCCTGATCTCAATACAAGAGAGGCATTAGAACAATATTTACTTGCCAACGCTATTGTAACAGGAACGAAAACACTACGCTCTCAAAGAAAGATGAAGTCTATGCATGATGCTAGAGAAGAACAATATCAAAGAATGAAAGAATTAAAAAGAAGTATGGTAGAATATACTAAACTTGATGAATTTATTCGTCTGGTAGATTGTATAGCATCTGAAACCATATTTCGAGCTGTTCTATTGGCTGTACAGACATTATTTAATACTCTTCGTCATCAAGGAGGTCAAGAATTACGATCTATTGGTTTTCAAGTTTTATTGGTACCTACTCAGTCTGAGATGATTTTTAATCCTTCTGAAAATTCTATTCGAGGAGCTTGTATGGAAGTTATTGCAGGATGTATGGAAGTAGCAAGTTCAACCTTACGTTTATGCAATCAAAAACAAATGAAACCCCATTTTACGAAGGTACCTCGTGTTTGGAATATGGGTAGTGAACTTAAACATGATGCTCGTATGAATTACCTTCAATCAAGTATCTTACAATTGGTAACTCAGGATTATGCACAAGCTAATACAAAGATGCAAGTTTATGCTATTACCTTACCTCATATTCACTTCCTTAAAAAGGAATGGAATGATATATTGAGTGAATGGGAAGAAGAAACAGGAGAGAAACCTTTATCTTCTATTGGATTGTCTAAATTGTACTCAAAATTACAAGAGGCTCATGATGCTCTACGAGTGTTAATGGCCTCTTTTGTTGGTCATATGTTATGGATTAATGCTGCCAAGTTAAAGACTGAAATAGAACCACGTATGCGTATTATACGTGATGGTATTGATGCAACACTTCGGACTATTACAAGAGATACTATCGCATCACTTCATACTTACTTTAAGCAAAAGAATCAACTTCTTAATGAACGTCCTGAATCACTTCCTGAATTTGCTCAATTTGTTGCAAATTACAAAACTATTTTGAATGAAGCAGCAGATACAGAAGCTAAAGTTGCACAAGCAGATGCTCTTTGTGAGTTAATGGAACGTCAACAAGTTGAATTCTTAGAAGATGAAGATAAACAACTTAAGGAGAGAACATTAGGGAATTCTGGTACATCAGTCTCTCTTCGAATCCTCTTTGACGAAGCACGTCTTCATGCTGAAGAATTTATAGAAGAGAATATGCCTACTCATATTCAGACCTTACAAGAAACTGTAAGCAATGTAGAGGATGAATGCCTCGGATTAAAACAGATTCTTTCTGGAGATGAGTTTATTGCTCTTACAGATAATATTAAACCCATTATTGAGTATCTAGATGATATCAAAGTTAAGCTTGGTGATGTTGAGGAAAGTGAAAGACAGCTTACACAGTATGCAAAATTATTTGATATTCCTGCAATTGATTGGTCATGTCTTAGTACTATGACCCATTTGCTTAATGTACGTTATGATACATGGACTCTTCTTGACAAATTTGTAAACTGTAAAGATGAATGGTTTACTTCTTCTGTAAAAGAACTTGATACTCGTACTATGGAAGATCAAATTAACTTAATGATTCGACAATCAGGTGCACTAAATAGATTGATTCAAGAGAAGGATTATGAAGATGAGGTGGTACCACATCTTTTAATGGAACTTCAAGCACTTCGTACTATAATGCCAGTTGTACACGATTGCGGTAATAAGCATATGACTTCTACACATTGGAATATTGTCTTAAAAGCTGCTACTGGTGCTGAAAATCGATATCATGAAGGTATAAACTTACAAACTCTGCATGATTTTAACATTTTGGAATTTAAAGATATTCTTGCAGAACAATCTGGTTTTGCTACCGGTGAATGGAAGATTGTAAATGATCTTGATAAGATTAAGAATACATGGAATGCAATTTCATTTGAGACTAAACCATATAAAAATCGTGATGGAGTTTTCATTTTAGATCAACTTGAAGATGTTATTCAACAATTAGATGATCATCAAATTGAATTACAAACTATTATGGCCTCTCGATTTGTAGCACCTGTTCGTGAACGTGTAGAAGAATGGATTCGTAACCTTCGTCTCTTAGGTGATGTTATTGATGAATGGATAACACTTCAGAAGAGTTGGATGTATTTGGAATTCATTTTTTCTTCAGATGATATCAAAGCTCAACTTCCTGAAGAAAGTGCACAGTTTAATGAAGTAGATGATTTATTTCGAACATTAACTATGAAAGCATATACTTTGAAAAATGTTTATCAAATTTGTATTGAAGGTGGTCTTTTAGATCATTTAAAAGAGAGTAATGCAAATATTGATCATATTCAGAAGAAACTTGAAGACTATCTTGAAACAAAACGTGCTGCATTCCCACGTTTCTACTTTCTTTCAAATGATGAATTACTTTCTATTCTTTCAGATGTTCGTAATCCCAAAGCGGTTCAACCACATTTATCAAAATGTTTTGATTCTATTGCAGCTTTGGTTTTTGGTGGTGATACAAAAACTGAAATTACAGGAATGCTTTCAGGAGAACGGGAAGAAGTGAGTTTTGAGAAAACGGTTTATCCAGTTGGTAATGTAGAACAGTGGTTATGTCAAATAGAAGAAATGATGAAGGCATCTCTGCTTATGCATATGCGAAAAACAGTTGAATCATACCCTCAAAAAGTAAGAGAACAATGGTTTTTTGATCATCCTGCACAATGTATTCAAGCTGTTGATATGGTTGTTTGGACAGGTGAAGTTGAAGAAGCTATAGCTTCAGGAACCTTAGATATTTATCATGAATCTTATCAAGGACAAATTCTTCGAACAGTTGATCTTGTAAAGCAATCTTTATCAAAGTTACAGAGAACTCTTGTTTGTACCTTAATTGTGCTTAATGTACATAATCGTGATATTGTACAAACACTTCATGAAAGCAAAGTAGTATCAGCTCAAGATTTTGCATGGGCTCAACAATTACGTTATTATTGGGAATCAACTGATACTGTAAAAACAGGAATGAGTGTTGGAATTCGTCATTGTGGTGCACATTTGTGGTATGGTTATGAGTACCTTGGAAATCAACCTCGTCTTGTCATTACCCCTTTAACCGATCGAGCCTTTTTAACTTGTACAAATGCTTTAGCAATGAACCTTGGTGCTGCTCCACAAGGACCTGCAGGTACTGGAAAAACAGAATCTGTTAAAGATTTAGGAAAAGCATTAGCAAGACAAGTTGTTGTTTTTAACTGTTCTGATGGTATTAATTATAAAACTATGTCTCGTATGTTTGCTGGATTAGCTCAAGCAGGAGCATGGGCATGTTTTGATGAGTTTAACCGTATAGAATTGGAGGTACTTTCTGTTGTAGCTCAACAAATGCTTGATATCACTACAGCTCTTGCCCAATATTTGGATCAAATGAATTTTGATGGTCATCAGATTAAATTAAGTAGAAATTTTGGAGTTTTCGTTACTATGAATCCAGGATATGCTGGACGTACAGAATTACCAGATAACTTAAAAGCACTATTTCGTCCAATATGTATGATGATACCAGATTATGCTCTTATTGCAGAAATTATGTTCTATTCAGAAGGTTTTGCGGATGCCAGAACATTAGCACGAAAAATGGTACAACTTTATAAACTTAGTTCTGAACAATTGTCAAAGCAAGATCATTATGATTTTGGTATGCGTGCTGTTAAATCTATTCTTGTATTAGCAGGTGGACTTAAACGTCAAAGCCCTAATGATGATGAAGATATGCTCTTAATTCGTGCTATGCGTGATGCTAATGTTCCTAAGTTTCTTCGTGAAGATACTGTTCTTTTTATGGCTTTAATAAAAGATCTTTTTCCTACTATAAAAATTGAAGAAACACCAAATGATCTTTTATTACGCTATGTAAAAGTAGAAATGGAAAAGAAAGGTTTACAAATAGTGGATGGATTAGTTACCAAATCCTTACAACTTTATGATACCCTTGTTGTCAGACATGGTGTGATGTTAGTAGGACAAACCTTTAGTGGAAAAACGACTATTATGCGAAGTGTTCAAGGTGCGTTAACCCAAATAAAAGAAGATGGACATGATGCAGAAGGTAATACTCCTCTATTTAATCGTGTACATATTCATTTACTGAATCCAAAATCAGTTACAATGGGTGAATTATATGGTCAAGTAAATGAAATTACACGTGAATGGACAGATGGTATTATTAGTAATATTGCACGAAGTATTACACGAGAAGCACAAGAATCAGCAGATCGTCAATGGATTGTCTTTGATGGACCTGTAGATGCTATTTGGATTGAAAATATGAATACTGTACTGGATGATAATAAATTACTTTGTTTATTTAATGGTGAACGTATTAAACTTCCACCTACGGCAACTTTTATGTTTGAAGTACAAGATTTAGCAGTTGCATCACCTGCTACAGTTTCTCGTTGTGGTATGGTTTTTACAGAGCCATATTATGTAGATGGTGGACGTGGATGGATTCCAATTGCTAAGACCCTTGTAGAACAGAAAGCTGCACAATTTCCAAAATTTCTTGCAGGAAGAGTGAATGAACTTTTAGAGCGTCTTCTTCCCATGACATTAAACTTTATACGAAAAGAATGTCGTGAATGGATTGTTTCAGTAGATGCTCAATTAGCAGTATCTTGTATTGAGCTACTGGCTGCTTTTATACGTACATTGGATGATGAAAGTTTGCTCCCACCAGCGTTACGATCACCAGAGAGTCAAACAAAATCGGATGAACAAGAAGAAGATATTTTACCTCCTGTTGCTGCAAGAACATCTTCTTATGTTGTTCCTATAGCGAGTGAACCAGAACAATTTGCTTCTCCTGCTATTACAACTGAAATTGTTTCCACAAATGATGAGACTTTATTTGATATGTACTTCCTTATGGCTTTTGTATGGTCTGTTGGAGGTAATCTTCGTGATGATTCTCGTGAAATGTTTAGTAAATTTATAAAAGAACAATTTGTCACTATACTTCCAGATAAGATTTCAATGGAAGATGAACTTAGTGTTTATGATTACGTTGTACATAAACCATCTATGCAGTTTGTTACTTGGCGTCATTTAGTTCCAACATTCTTTTTTAATGCAAATTTACCATATTTTGATCTTATTGTTCCTACATCAGAGACTGTGAGTGTTACTACTTTACTAAGAGTTCTCTCTGCGAGTTCTCGTCATGTTTTGCTGAATGGTATTACTGGTACTGGAAAATCTTTAGCAATGATGGACTTTGTCACTGGTACTCTTCAAGGGGATGATCCAGGAAGTAAGTGGGAATATTTTACTACTGTTCTTAGTGCACAAAGTCGGGCTCGTGATATTGAAGATCGATTGGAGGGAAAATTATATAAAATACGAAGTAATGCTATTGGACCAACTCCAGGGAAACATGCAGTTTTTGTTATTGATGATTTAAATATGCCTGCACTTGAGAAGTATGGGGCTTCACCACCACTGGAATTGTTGCGTCAACTCATTACACAAGGTGGTTTCTTTGATAAACGTAAATCACCTGCAACCTTTAAGGAAGTACATGATATGATTATCCTTGCTGCTTGTGGAGTACCTGGTGGAGGAAGAAATGAAATGACGAAACGTTTAGTTTCTCGTTTTCATCTCTTGTGTCAACCGGCATTTAGTGATTTTTCTATTCGTCGTATTTTTGGATGTATTCTACATGGATTTCTCTCTACTTGGAATAGCGCAGAGATTCAGAATCTTTCCGGTGACCTTGTTGAAGCCATTAAACAATGTTATGATCGTATTAGTAAAGAAAAACTTCCTACACCAAAGTGTTCTCATTATACTTTTAACCTACGTGACTTTAGCAAAGTGGTACAAGGTATTATGCAGTTATCACCTCATAGTGCTCCTAATCGTAATGTTATTTTACGTGGTTTTGTTCATGAAGTAAGTCGTGTTTTCCATGATCGTCTTATTGATTTTACAGATCGTCAATGGTGGTGGAAGACATTATCAGTGGTATTAAATAATGTTTTTCATGAACCTTGGAATCCGGAATATGAAAATATACTTTTTGGTGATTATATGAGACGAGATCACGCTTTATATGAAGAGATACAACCTGGAGATACTTTACAAGAAACTTTAACAGAATATCAATCAAACTACACGATTGAATGTAATAAATCAGTAGAATTGGTATTCTTTAAAGATGCTATTCATCATATTTCTCGTATTTGTCGAATCTTTCGTCAACCTCGTGGTCATGCCTTATTAGTAGGAATGGGAGGTACAGGAAGACAGTCTTTATGTAAACTTGCAGCTTTTATATGTGATTTACCCGTTTATGAAATTTCTATTACTCGTTCCTTTAGTATGACAGACTTTCATGATCGTATGAAAGAAATATTACTTGCAAGTGGATGTAAAGATCAACCAGTTTTATTTTTCCTTTCAGATTCTCAAATTGTACGAGAAGAAATGCTTGAGGATGTGAATAATCTTCTTAACACAGGTGAAATACCTGGACTTATGCAGAATGAAGATATTGATCAAATTGTAGAATCTGTTCGTCCACTTGCATCTGCAGCAGGTAAAAAAGAAACTCGTAATGTTATATTTTCTCATTTCGTTTCTCTTTGTCGTGATAATGTACACGTGGTATTAGCCATGTCTCCTGTTGGTGAACCATTCCGACGTCGATTACGTATGTTTCCATCCTTAGTGAATTGTTGTACTATTGACTGGTTTGATCAATGGCCAGAAGATGCCTTAAACTCTGTTGCTACTCGTATTTTCCAAAATCTTTCATTAGATGATGGAGTGAAAGAACGTCTTATTAAACTTTGTGTGGCAATTCACATGGATGTACAAGCACGATCAGAAGAATTTTATGAAGAATTACGTCGACGAAATTATACAACTCCAAGTTCTTATCTAGAGTTACTCACATGTTATCGCAAGTTACTGGCAGAACAGGGTGAACAAAATACAGAGCAAGTCAGTAGATATCAAGGAGGTCTTGATAAACTTCAAAACACTCAACTCCTCGTAGATGAAATGAAAGAACAACTTGTACAGATGCAGCCAAAATTACTACAAGCTGCACAAGATACAGAAGAAATTATGGCAAAAGTGAAACGAGAACAAGAAAGTGCTCAAGTTGTGCGAGCTCAATGTGCGAAAGAAGAAGAAGTTGCCTTGGGAATTCGTCGTGAAGCCGATGGGATTCGAGCGGAATGTCAAGTAGAATTAGATAAGGCGATGCCAATTCTACGGGCGGCAGAAAATGCCCTTGCGGAACTTCGACCGGATGATATTCGAGAAGTGAAAAGCTTTCAGAAACCTGCAGCTCGTGTGGTTTTGGTATTGGAGGCTGTATTAATTCTCTTGGGAGAGCGTGATCTCAGTTGGGAACGTGCAAAGCTTGTGATGAGTCGTATGGATTTTATTAAAGATTTACAAAACTACAAAAAGGATGAATTAACAGAACGTGTCGTTCGATCTATTCAGAAATATATTCATAATCCAGATTTTCAACCAGAGGAAGTGGCAAAAAGTTCTAAAGCCTGTAAGTCTCTTTCCATGTGGGTATTAGCTATTAATAACTATTATGAAGTTGTAAAGGTAGTAGCCCCAAAGCGAGAACGATTAGCAGAAGCAGAGGCGAAACTTCGAGTCGCCACCGATGCCCTTCAAGAGGCACAAGCACGACTAAAACGTATAGAAGATGATATTACAGCATTAAAACAAACTATGCAAGAAAATATTGAAAAACGTGATAAACTGCAGAAAGATATTGATCTCACTAAGGTACGACTCCATCGTGCTGAGCAATTAATGAGTGGTCTTTCACAAGAACAAGGTCGATGGGGAAGTTCTATTGAATTCTTACAAGATGAAATAGCCGGTTTACCTGGAAAAGTGGCATTGGCTGCTGGATTTATCGCCTATTTGGGACCTTTTACTGGACCATACAGAATTCGTATGATTGAAACATGGTGGCGTAAATGTAAAGAACTTGAAATCCCTATGGGAGCTCGTCCTTTTGAACTTTCAAGTATGGTTAGTCCAGTTCAGGTTCGACACTGGGGAGCTATGGGACTTCCACAAGATCCAGTGAGTGTTGAGAATGGTGTTATTACACATAAATCCATGCGTTGGTGTTTATGTATTGATCCTCAAGGACAAGCTTGTAATTGGATTCGAGCTATGGAGCGTGAAAATAATCTTCGTATTATTAAACTGAGTGATCCAAATTACATGCGTGTGTTGGAAAATGCCATTCGTATAGGTGTTCCTGTATTGATTGAAAATGTTGAAGAAAGTGTAGATGCCGTACTTGATCCTGTTTTGCTTCGTCAGACTTATCGTTCACAAGGACGATTATTACTTAAACTTGGGGATACAGAGATTGATTATGATCCATCTTTTAGACTGTACATGACGAGTAAATTACCTAATCCACATTACTTACCAGAATTACAAATTAAGGTGACAGTAATTAATTTTACTGTAACTCAAGGTGGTCTTGAAAATCAACTTTTAGCAGATGTTGTACGATATGATTGTGCAGAACTTGAAGCAACTGCTATTAAAACTGTGATGGATATTGCAAATGGTAAAAATCAATTAAAAGAAATAGAAGATCGTATTCTTCATTTACTAGCATCATCTACTGGAAATATTCTTGATAATGAACCACTTGTTCGTACCCTTAATGAAGCTAAAGAAACAAGTGAAGCTGTAACAAAATCACTTGAAGTTTCAGAAGCTACACAAAAAGATATTGAAGTAGCACGTAATCGATATCGTCCAGTAGCAACACGTGGAGCAATTATTTATACAGTTGTTTCTCATCTTTCAGGATTGGATCATATGTATCAAATATCTCTTGACTTTTTTAAACAATTGTTTTTACAGTCATTAAAACGAACAGAGAAACCAACAGAAGTGGATGAACGTGTCGCTCTTTTATTACCTGCAGTAACATTAGATTCATATAATACTATTTGTCGAGGTCTTTTTGAGAAGGATAAACTTCTTTTTGTAGTGTTAATGTTTGCAGATATATTCCGTCATGAAGGGGTAATTCGAGATGTGGAATGGGAATTTTTATTAAAGGGTAGTGAAGGTAGATCACTTGTAGATCCTGATGTAGATATTTGGCCAACGTGGTTAAATGAGGCTGTATGGAATGAATTAACTGCCCTTGCACACGCTATACCTGATACTTTCGGAAATATTAAGGATGAAATATATGATAATGAAGAGGAATGGTGTAAATGGTTTTCAAGCGAAAAGGCATATGATTGGTATCCTAATTCTGTACAAAACTTATCACCATTTCAACGTTTATTACTCTTAAAAGTATGTCGAGAAGATTTAACAAGTTATGGCCTATCATTAGTTTGTGCACATTATCTTGGTAAAGCTTTTACAGAAAGTCCTCCTTTTGATCTTGAAGCTTGTTTTGCGGATAGTACACCAACGGCACCTATTATTTTTGTTCTCACTCCTGGTAGTGATCCTACTGTGCTTTTCACAGAGTTTGCTGATCGTAAAGGATTTGGTGATCGTAAGTTTACACTTTCATTAGGTCAAGATCAGGGACCTAAGGCAGAAGAAATGATTAAACAAGCCTCAAAAGAAGGAATGTGGGTTTATCTACAAAATTGTCACGTGTATGAATCCTGGATGCCATCACTTGAGAGATGTTTAGAAGTATTACAATCATCCCCTAATGTTCATGATGATTTTAGACTTTGGCTTACTACAATGCCAACACGTAGTTTTCCAGTTTTATTATTACAGTCTGGTATAAAAGTTGTTAAGGAACCACCAAAGGGATTAAAGGCAAATATTCGTGATAGTTTCTCTTTGGAAGTAACACCAGCATTATGGAATAGTCGAACAGAAAATCCAACACCTTGGAGACGTCTCTTATGCTCCTTAACATACTTCCATGCGGTTATTCAAGAGAGACGAAAGTTTGGTCCACTTGGATGGAATATTCCATATGAATGGAATCAATCCGATTTTTCTGCAAGTCTTAATTCGTTAGCAGCATATATTCCAGAAGATAGTGATACGCCTATGCCATGGAATGCATTACGATATATGGTTGGTGTTATTAACTATGGTGGACGAGTTACTGACTTCCTTGATACCCGAGCTCTTATTAATATTCTTCAAGCATTCTTTAATGAAGATGTTATTAAACCGGCTCAATTTAATTTAACAGAAGATGGTGTTTATTGTATTCCAGAAGATGTGGATTCTCTTGATACTGTAAAAGAATATTTAGCCAATTTACCACCTTTTGAAAGTCCTGAATTATTTGGTCTACACGCTAATGCCGATATTGCCTACAATCGTACTACGGCCCGTGGTCAATTAGCAACTATGCTTTCTGTTCAACCACGTAGTATAGGAGTTGCAGGTAAAAGTTCAGAAGAAAAGGTTCTTGATATTGTGGATGAATTTGAACGTCGTCTTCCACATTTAATTGATAAAACACAAGCAAGTCCTGAAACCTATCAAATTACAGAAGATGGATCTATGATTTCTTTAGGTACTGTAGCAAGTCAAGAAATTGATGTTTTTAATTCAATTCTACGAAAACTAGAACAAACCCTTCAACAGTTACGTCGTGGTATTAAAGGTGAAGTGGTGATGTCTGCAAAGTTAGAGGCGATGTTTGATGCCTGTTTACTTGGTCACGTTCCGCAGATCTGGCATGATGGTGGTTACTTATCTCGTAAACCGTTAGCCTCATGGTTTCAGGATACATTACAGCGAGTGGAATTCTTCCGTGATTGGAATGATAATGGATTACCATCGAGTTTCTGGATCTCCGGCTTCTTCTTCCCACAGGGATTTCTTACAGGTGTCTTGCAGGCCCACAGCCGTGAACATAAGATTCCCATTGATGATATTCGCTTTAACACGAATGTTACTCGATATGAATTGGTGGATGATATTGTTACCGTGCCGACTTCTGGTGTACTCATTCACGGTCTCTTCCTTGAAGGCGCTCGTTTTGATATGAAGACGATGGCATTAGAAGAAAGTCATCCACGTGAATTATATACAACGATGCCAGTTATTCATCTCGATCCGGTGCGATTGAAGGATCGTACATATACAGAGAAAACATATGAGTGTCCGGTGTATAAGACTTCTGCACGTGCGGGTGCCTTGTCGACGACTGGACTTTCTACAAACTTTGTGGTTTCGTTGGATCTCACATCTAGTGAGACATCTACACCCGATCATTGGATCCGACGCGGTGTGGCTTTACTCTGCATGCTGGATGATTAATAGATAGAGTCCCCATTATATATATATATATATATATATATATATATATATATAGTGTTGATGGGTGGGGGAAACAAGAGATAGAAGGAAGAAGGGAAAGAAACTGGAGTGTATGTATGTATGTTGACAATGCATCTCTTCATTTGGTCTCTTCATTCTTTTCTTTTTTTTATTTGGTGTTTGTTATTATGTACCGTATACTCCCTTTTTATTAATAAGTTTTTTTTTTTAGTTGGAACTTCTTTCAGACGACAAGTGCTGATGTACAAGAAAAGGGATGATAAAAGAAAAAAAAAAAAAGAGAGATGAATTTCCACTCCAAAACTTATTGGATAGAAAGAAAAAAAGAAAGCAAAAAAAAGTGGAACAATGTACATAAATGATGTATTGAAGTTTCGTCTGCTAACAACAACGACAAAAACAACCTCGTACATTTTAATGTATGTATTTACAAGAAACAAAGCAAAAAAAAAAAAAGAAGTAGGCGGGGTTCGCTTAACAGCATCAAATACGAAAATACACTCTGAAAACAATGAATACACACACAACAAAAAGAGAAAATAAAAATACATTCTCTGAGTACTGTACTGTTCTGATATTTAATTGGATACTTTAATACCACGCTTAATAACCTTTTTCTCCCTTTTATTTCTTTTTTTCTTTCTCTGTTTAAATAGGAATAATAATAATAATAATAATAATAATAATTACTATTATTATTATCATATATTTGCTACTTTTACGTCTAGTAAATCACCACAGTGGTTGATTAGATAGAAGACGTGCATTTGAGTGAACTCCGCTTCAGAAGCGAAAAGATAATAATAAACGAAAAAGAAATAACCAACACACATAGAGAGAGAGAGAGAGAGAGAGAGAGAGAGCCGTAAGGTAGTGGCACAGTTTAAAAGGGGTATCCGATAAACTGATTAGCACACCTAATCACAGTATCAAGAGTATACACTTGATTGTATTTACTTACACATTCACTATATATATATATATATATATAATATTGGTTAGTTTTTTCCAATTTCGTGTAAGGCTCTTTAGCGTATCGAATATTTTTTTGTTCCTTTTCTTATTCTACGTGCATCGACTGCTTATATATTTTCTGGACTTTAGAAGAAAAGAAAAAAAAAAGAAAAAGATGATAGGAACTCAGATATCGTGTCTACGTCGGTGGGGTACCGCCTGCACATTTCTTCCCTCCCACGTCCGGTTTCTATCCCAACATGGAAAAGGCGAACAAAGAACTTCTTCTCACGATCATATGAAGAACCAAAGCCATCACAACAACAATAATAATAATAGTAATGAGCGGTTAGTGGCCCGCACGAGTGAGACGGCTGGTATTAACGGCCTTTACGGCAATAGAGCGCAGAATGCTATTCGCGGTATGTTAGGACCACAAGGTCAGGCCGATGCCCGTGAGTCCAAAGCCGTTCCCATCTTGGGAAGAGCCACTGTGCAGGGAACAAAGTATACATGTGATCGATCCACCGTGTTTGAGAATTGGAGACATGTCTGTGCGGATCCTGTTGGTTGGCATTTATCTAAACTTGGAAGTGCCACTTGTAAAATGCCAAATGATGTGAATGAAGCTGTAGAATCTTTGCAATTACAAATTATTAAAGGATGTAATGTATTTGAACTGGATGGAAGTTTATCAGATGTACATCAAAGTATAGCTCGTGCTTTTTATGAAGCTTTACAAGCCTTTGAGTTGGAAAGAGAAGGATTTGTTATGGTTTTTCGTTGTGGTGTTATTAAACAACAACCATTTCAAGAAGAAGTAACACAAGTGGAAACATCCAATACAGCTGTGGTACGTAATCGTATTGTACCTATATTTGAACGATATAAAGCTTCTTCTTTACCTTCTATGCAATTAAAAACAGGATTTCGTATCAGTGATTTAAGTGATGAACAGTTATCACGTTTAAATCTTCGTCGTGTTTCTAAAACTTCTGCGGCAGGTCTTTCTCCAGATTGGTTAGAAGCTTTCTTTACAAATGTTGCCTATAATACAAAACTAGAATGTATTGATGTTCTCTTATTAGATGGTTTTCACACTTTATTTGATGGGAGACCAAGAGAACACATTGATGATGATATTCTTCAATTATTTGCCTATCTTGAAAATCAAGTAAAACTCGGTGTATTACAGTATTACGGTATATCTTCTCCATACTTGGCTCCACACATTCATCGTGATTTCCCTGAACTTCCACCAGACGCAATGGTGCCAGATCATATTCGACATCGTCGTCCACTTCCTGCGGTTATTAATTTATATCATGTTTTGGAATTGGCAAGACGTGCTGGTGGTGATAAGCATCATTTTCGATTTGTACAATATCCATTTAATTTGACATTTTCACAGGCACTTGATAAACCATTACCGTATGATGGTAATCACACCCTGCGTTCCCTCACACAAGCATTAGGCTTAACCACATTAGGATATAGTCCACTAGAGGCAACAGACTTAATGGAATTACCACAACGTTATCATAATTTTCCAATGGAGGCGGATCTTAAATCACTTCGAATGAATTTCTTTACCGTTTGTGAACGATGTGTATTGAAAGAAATGGAAGTGAAGGAGTCTATTGAAAAAGGACCTTCCACAGTACCTCCATTAGAACATCTTTTTGTGGCGAGTGTTTATTTAGCAGCACAACGTCAATTTACAAATTTATTCTTCTTTACAAGTTGGGCTACATATTATATGATTCCTCGATTTCGTCGTGCTCTTATGCGGTTTAAAGAAGCTTCCTCTACAGATCTTAAGGAGTGGTGTAAACAATATGAACAACTTGTAAATGATATGCTTCGATTACGAAAACGAATGTTTGAACATAAAGCTGGTAAATTTGCACTTGAGAAAAATTTTGCAATTGATCGTGTGAGTCCAACACTCTCTATGTGTCCCATGTTAAATCAAAAGGCGATTAACTTTGCCACTTATGGTTGTGATACTGTATTAGCAGGATTTCATGTATCCCGTTATTTTCATGAGGCCACGGAATTAAATCCTGCCCGCAATGGGGAATTAGTGATACCAGAATCTGAACTTCAGGCTTTATGTACATCTATGGAAGTATCGTATGCAAACTCTTCTCCACCGGATCCATATATGCTGGAGCCTATAGTAACAGAGGGGAAGTTATCTAGACAGCGAAGTAAATCAATGGAGTTTATGGTGAAGATTGATCCACATAATCCAAAGTTTCCAGATATCCCAGAAGAGTTGGGAGAAGAGGGAGAGACAGAGAAGAAGAGTAATAGCAATAATAATAATACTACTAATAAGGTATGAGGAGAGAGAAAAAAAATAAAAAAAGGAAGAAGAAAAGAGAAAAAAGAAAAGAAAATAATGAATGGAAGGGAAATATGAGAGAGCAAGCAAAATTAACGAAATTTACCGAGCTTTATTTTTTATATTTATTTTATTTTATTTACTTTTTAGTGACTGTTTTTTTTTTTTTTTTTTCCGTTTGTTTGTTTGTTTGTTTCTTTAGTTGAAATAGCGCATCACCACACATAGATATGTGCACTCTAGAGGAATATCACATTAATACTTCTTTTCTTCTTTTTAACTCTTTTTTTTTTTTTTTTT